AAGCTAATTTTTTTTAACATTGTCAAAACATGAGAGTATGAAGAAGAAGTCATGGTCTAGCAATTTGATTTTCTCATCCTAATGTGGTGGTAACATGCATAACCCCAAAGCTGAATAATTTTACAGAGCTGGGGGAGGGTTTATGTGATTTAGGGTCGAATGGGTGGTACTATTATCACTGCCTGAGTTCTAAAATGATAGAGGGTTAGGAGAGTTGGGGAAGGAGAGAAAAGTCTTTTTTTTTAATTGAAGTATAGTCATTTTACAATGTTGTGTCAATTTCTGGAGTACAGCATAATGTTTCAGTCACACATCTACATTCATATATTCATTTTCATAGTCTGTTTCATTACAGGTTACTACAAGATAGTGAATGTAGTTCCCTGTGCTATACAGAAGACATTTGTTTCTTTATTTTATATAGAGTAGTTAGTATTTGCAAATCTCGAACTCCCAATTTATTCCTTCCCATCCCTTTTCCCCTGGTAACCATAAGTTTATTTACTGTCTGTTTCTGTTTTGTAGATGGGTTCATTAGTGTCCTCTTTTTTCTTTTTTCTTTTTCTTTTAGATTTCACATATAAGTGATATCATATGGTATTTTTCCTTCTCTTTCTGGCTTACTTCACTTAGAAATGACAATCTCCAGGTCCATTCATGTTGCTGCAAATCACATTATTTTATTCTTTTTTATGGCTGAGTAGTACTCCACTGTATAAATATACCACAACTTCTTTATCTAGTCATCTGTTGATGGACATTTAGGTTGTTCCCATGTCTTGCCTATTGTATATAGTGCTGCTATGAACATTGGACTGTGTGTATCTTTTCGAATTAGAGTTCCCTTTGGAAATATGCCCAGAAGTGGGATTGCTGGGTCATATGGTAAGTCTGTTTTTAGTTGTTTGAGGAATCTTCATACTGTTTTCCGTAATGGCTGCACCAAATGGCATTCCCACCAACAGTGCAGGAGGGTTCCTTTTAAGGAGAGAAAAGTCTTAATTGGAATCTGATTCAATTTGTTTAGTTGAAGAAGCAAGGAAGGTCTTTTCAGAATGGGGAAAGGAAACAGCTTAAGAAAAATCACAGAGGTGGGAACAAGGAAGGCATTTCTGGAGAAGAGAGTTGACTTTGTTTTGGAAGACTGATTCCGTAGGGCCTTGAATACTGCATTAAGGAATATGGATTTTAATCTCTGACACTGGTGAGCCCTTGAAAGTTTCTAAATCAGGAATTACACGATGAAACTATTGTTTTAGGGAAAATAACTTGAGGATATTGGGGATTAGTAGCCCCCCTAAGTATTTCAGTGCTATGGCTTGTTATTAATTACCTACATACTCATTTCTTTTAGGATTGGGGTAATTTTTTTTCCAGGTCACTTGGGCTTTTGGAGCTGTGCTAATACACGTGGGTGAGTCTACTGCTCAATTTGCTCATTTTAGCTTCTTACTTTCTCTTTTTCTATTCACCTCTGCCTCTGTCCAGCTCTGCAGCACACCCACCTATCACCCCCACACACTCACGCGTATCCCACCCACTCTCTCCTCCTCACCTCCATCCAACAGACTTACTTCTCCCTATTATCATTCACACTCTCACCTTCCTCATTTCCCTGATAAGTTCAGTTCTTTTTTTTTTTAAGGTCATAAGAAAACCCTGGAATAAATGTACCTTTTTAATCTTTTATTTATTGAAAGCCTGCTGTATGGCAGGTACTGTGGTAGCCTCTGGGGACACCAAGTTAGGCCATGGTACCTGTCCTTCAGTGTCAGTCTAGTGGGGAGGACAAACATCTATGCTATTAAAGCACAATATGATGAGAACTCTAATTAGCAGTATGAGCAAGATGTCCGAATAATTCACTACGCTGATCAAAAGAGGCCAGCTCCTTGCCTGTCAAGTCTTCCAGGAAACCAGGACACAGGAATGTCACCTGGTTTTGGCCAATTGGATGCCTCTCCTCCGGACTTGGGATCTTGATCTAGTGAAGCAGAAAATGAGGGAGGAAGGGGTTCATTCTGGGCAGAATTATAGTGGTAAGAAAGTCAGTGGCAGCATCCTGTGCCCTGGGCTGGTGGTGGCTGCTGGACCACCGTCTCCATGATCAGGCCGGTCCTGTCAGGTCACCTTGGCTGACTCTGGCCACCGCGGCTTTCTTGGTTCCTGTCAGGTTAACTGAGTTGGTTCTCAAGACCCTCTGGCAATTCTGGGAGCAACCGCTTATCCCTTAATACATTTTATTTTTGACTTAAATCAGAGTTGCTGTCTGTTGCTTACAATGAAGCACCCTGGCTAATCATCAAGGAGTGGCCACAACGGGTCAGGGAAATCAGTGCAGGGGAATTTGGGTCTTGTTGGACTAATTGCAGTGAAAACGTAGCAATGTTTAAGAGATGGCAAACTGTAGCTCATGAAATACAATGAAGAAATAACTAAGTCATGGTTTACGTAGTCTGTAACAAGCACTGAAGGCCACTGTCATAGACCAGGATGAAGGGCATGAGAAATCCCACAGCCATAGCGTTAGAGCGCTGCTTCTAGTATCTCTGAACAGCCTCAAGAAAGACAATGTGATGCTCAAGACCTTAAATTATTGGCTTTAATTCAGGGAGTTTCAGGGAATTTCTATGATTGTACTCAAATAATTCAGGCCTAAAATTCAGGGGATTTCTATGATTGTGCTAAAATAATTTCTCATCTCTTTCAGCTGCAGACTACATGGACTTTAATTTGAGCCTTGCCAATTACAACATCAGTCAGATGTGCAACTTTACCAGATCTTTTACTGAATAATAAAGATGTATGTTGGGAAAGAATGGGAACCAGAAAACAGAAAGGAAAATTCAGGGTGTGTGAAATACTCAGGCCTCAAGCAAGTTCCGTTTGCTTGTTGTGATAGATAGAATAATTCCAAAGTGGTCCATATCCTAGTCTCTGGAACATATGAATGTGTTACTTACAGAGCCAAAAAAGATTTTGCAGGTGTGATTAAGGTTAAGGACCTCGAGATGGGGAGATTATCCTGGACTACCGAGGAAGGCCCAATCAAATCACAGGAAACTTTAAAAGTGAAGAGCCTTTCCCAGCTGTGGCCAGAGGGAGATGTGGCCATGGAAGAAAGGTCAAAGGGAGATGCAACATTGCTGATGTTGGAGATGCAGGAAGGGGACCACAAACTAAGGGATGCAGGCAGCCTCTAAGAGCTGAAAAATACAAGGAAATGAATTTTCCCCTAGAGCCACCAGAAGACAGTGCAGCCCTGCCGACACCTTGGTTTTAGTTCAGTGAGACCCACGTCAGTCTTCTATCCTCCAGAACTATAAGGTAATACATCTGTGTTAGTTTAAGCCACTAACGTTTTGCTGATTTGTTACAGTGACAATGGAAAATATAGCACCCGAAGACGTTCCTTCTCCATTTTCGGATAAGGCTGCTCCCTTTGAGATCATATAACTGTTCCATGTCAGGGATTGGTGTGCGGGGAGAAAGCGTTTATCCTTGTATTCCCTTCACCAGCCACTCATTTTCCTTAGACCCAGAAGCAAAGTTAGATCCCAGCCTGGCCAGATATAAACTCACACTTGGAAGGAGAATGTTACACACCAATAAAATAAGATTAAAAAATTATCTCTGCAAAAATCTGTAGAATATGCATGGGCATGGATTCTCAAGGTGCTAAACTAAGGAGAGAAAAGTATAATTTTAAGTTAACTTAAAGTTTTTGAGATGGTGCAACTCTGAGAGAGTTAAAATTCAACTGGCCAGCTTGAACAGCTGGGTAAATTTTTGTTAATTACTCACTTGGGTGACTTAAACTCAGACTGGACAATATCCTATTTTGGATAAAATGGAGACGTCATAAATTCCTTGGAATAATATAGTGGAAGGAATCCTAAGATAGGGAAGGCTGGAGTGGGTTTATCACGCACAAGTGATCTCTTACAAGACAGTGCAGAAGGTGCTTTCTTCGCCAAGGTCTTAGTAAACACATCATTGTATTTACTTTGAAAGGTGCTTTAGTGAATGTTTTCTATAGGCCAGGAATGCTGATGGGAGATTCGACATTTAAAATGAGCTCCTTGGGGTGGGAGGAGGGTATACCTCAGTGACAGAGCACATGCTTAGCATGCACGAGGTCCTGGGTTCAATCCCTAGTATCTCCATTAAAAAATAAATAAATACAGACGACTATGTACAGAATAGATAAACAAGGTCCTACTGTCTAGCACAGGGAGCTATATTCAATAGCTTGTAGTAATCTTTAGTGAAAAGGAATATGAAAAAAAATATGTATTATGGAATCATTATGCTGTACACCAGAAACTAATACATTGTAAATCAAAAAATAAAAATAAATTAAAAAAATGAACTCCTGGGTTTCACTGAGAATGAGAGGAGCTCAGGATGGCAGAGGCCAAGTAAAAGCACTTACCACTGTGAACAGGGTCCCCAGGATATTCCCCAGGATGGCTAACGATCCTGTGGTCCCCAGGCCTGAGACTGACAGGCTGCCCACAAGGATTCTGTTTGATTTGTACAACAGAAAAAACAAAACAAAACAACAAAAAAGCTCCCTTTGTTCCTGCCTGCCTTCTAAATCCGGGTTCTCTGGCCTATCCAGAGATTCAGTGAGTACCTCAATATTCTCTGAGTCAATTAGTTTGCTTCTTAAATCATCTAGAGTTGGTTTATGTTACGTGTATTTAAGAACCTTGCCTTGGAGGACCATGAAGAAAGAAGACAGAGCTGGAGAGATAGATTAGAATCAGATTGTCAGGAGCTTTGTGGGATTATTAAAAAGTTTGGACTTTGTCCTGAAGGCAAAGAAAGCTTACTGGAAGATTTTACAGAGAGATAAATGTAATCGGATGAGGGTTTTAAAATTGTCTTCCTGCTAGACCGAAGAGAGGGAGAAAACAAAGGCAGGGGTTGGGGGAGCAGTTAGGAGGATGTTGTAATAATTCAGGTGACAACTGATGACAATACGGAAAAATGACAGTTGTGGAGGAGCTGAAGAGAGTAGCATGGATTCAAAGATACTTGAAAGGCTGTCCAGGGGTTGGTGACTGGGTAGAAAACAAGAGAGTGAAGACTGAAGATGACTTCAAAGTTTGTAACTTGATTGAACAGAGGGATAGTGGTGCCTTGGACTGAGTTAGAAGGACAGGAAAGAAAGATGGGTTTGGGGGAGAAGAGAATTTAAGGCATATTGAATTTGAGATCCTCTTCCCCAGGTGGAGATGCCCCTTAAGCAGCAAGAAACCTGGGATGAGGATTTAGCGGAGAAGTACAGCCTGCAGGAGCAGGCGTGGGAGCCATTGTAGGAGTGCTAGTTGAAGCCAGGTAAGTAGAGGAGGTTCTCGAGGAGCACAGAAAAGTCGGAACTTTTCAATGAATTTGAAGATCCTGAATTGATAAGTCGACTTCTTAGTTACGACTTTGTACATGCCCACAGGGTCTCATCATGACTTTCGTGGCAACCCTAGTTGCCTCAGGATGCCTGGCCACCCCCTGCCCCCACCCCCATCTCCCCAGCACTCACTATTCCAGCTCACACCACCTGCCAGCATCCCTGACTCTGCCTCCCAGCCCATGACAGGGCAGGTCAGAAGCAGCAGGGAGTTAATGCCTCTGAGAGCAGCCCTCAGCCGTGAAGGATGAGCACTGGAACAGAACCATCCCAGATTCCTCACACCTCCCATGGAATGACTTGGAGGCGTATTCCAGCCCATGTCCCAGAGTTACCCAGTGGGGCTGACCCTCCGCTGCCCACACTAGTAAACTGCCTGATTATACACAAACTATTGACTTTGGGCCCGTCCCTGGCTTCTTCCCAGTCCCCACGGCTACTTCTTGGGATCACCTCCCAAATAAACTGCTTGCACTCGCGTCCCCGTCTCAGGATCTGCTTCTGGGGGAATCCAGAGTCAGACAGGCTTTCTGTTCTTCCTGGTCTCCCGAGCGTGAGCCATTTGAAATGTGTAAGCTGCTTCTCTCCTTTCTCACCTGCTGCCCATATTTTCTGCCTTATCCTCCGCCGTCGTCCCTCAGTTCTGCCCATCTCTCCTTTCCTGAAACAGACATGGAAGTATACATGAACCTCCTCGACCCTGAAGACACAAAGGGATAATAGACACCTGGAGAGAAAGTCCCTCATCTATTCTAGGAAACAGGTGCAATGATAATCATATTTTGTATTTACTAAATCCTTTCCTTCCAAGAGTTCAAAGTGTTCCTTGTGGATCCCCTGTGGGCGGGAGGAGGACTGGCTTCTAGCACAGCTGTAAATCACGTGAAGTGTAAATTCTATGAAACTGGGCTTGAGAGATCGTTCTAGGTCCCCTTCAAGTGGCTCTCTCTCTGCTGCCTTCCTCGCTGGCACCTGGGCCCCTTCCTGCTGCCCCGTTTCTGTTTTTGCTGCACCTCATTTCTGGCCATGGTGACTTGCTCTTAGCCACCTTTCAACGGGTCTTGGCTGACAGGGGCGATTATGACTATTATTAATACGGTGTTATTTTCCCCCCAAACGTTTTCATTTTAACAGGACACATTTACAAACTGAAAAGCTAAAGCAATTGAGTAGCAGGATCATAGGCAAGTAAGAACTTTTGGTCAAGCACAGTATGAGTCCATTTAATAATCTGCATGATCTCAAACTGATTGCTGGGCAACTTTTAAGAGGGAAAAGCATGGCTTCATGGAGCTCCAGTCATTTCTGTTTCAGGGACTCTTTTTAAAAGAAGGAAACAATGATGAGATTCCACGTGAAAGGTGCATTTGATTACCCAGAGTGTGCTTTCGGTTAAGTTTTTTTTTTTTCGTTTTTCATTTATATTAGGTAGCACTGTTACGATTTGACCGCACATATACAATGTATTGCACGTAAATACGTATACACAATATACTGCCCATATTTTTAAAAAGTTATGAATATGTACTGTTCATTGTTTTTAAGAATGTTAAGAGCTTCAGCTGTTTTAACTTGCATAGTTATCAAAGGAATAAAGCCAACCACAAAATAAGAATGAATTCAAAAAGATACATACATCCTGCTATTAACAGCAACATTATTTACAATTGCCAAGATATGGAAGCATCCTAAGTGTGCATCAGTAGTTGAATAGATAATGAAGATGCTGCATGTATACGTGATGGAATACAACTCACCCGTAAGAAAGAATGATATTTTGCCATTTGCAGCCCTTCATTCACTTTGTTTTCCACTTCAAAAACCAGAATTTTATAACTGGCACGAACATTTCCATTACATCAAAAACAACAAAATACCTAGAAATAAACTAAACCAAGGAGGTGACCTTTACTCTGAGAACTATAAAACATTAATGAAGGAAACTGAAGATGATACAAAGAAATGGGAAGATATCTTGTGCTCTTGGATTAGAAGATTCAACATTATCAAAATGGGTGAAGTGTTATCGAGTGTTTGCTGTGTGCAGGGCACTCACTGAGGCAGAGGGCGGAGAAGGCACAGGTGTGAACGCTTTTCCTGTCTTACTGGTCTTACCTTCTCTTTGTCTCGGGGTTGAAGGATGAAGACTTCTGCTCTCAAAATGGGCTCCAGGACCAGCCTGCAGAAGAGGGGTGGGAACTTCAGCTCTGATCAGAATCCAGAACATCTCTGCAAGTTCAAGAAAATACCCATTTGGAGGGTTTTAAAAGCATCTCCTTTTCCCTAAGCCCCATGCTCAGGAAGAAAGCAGAGCATGAAAAACCACTTCCTTCCACAACTTATTTTCAAAAAATAATGAGGGTGAGAGGGTAGAGCATTCTTCCCCAAAGTGTCTCCCTTAAAAAACGTGCTCCGCTGGGGAAAGACGTTGATTGAAAAACAGCACAAATGTATTGTTTTCCTCTCCCCCCTCAAATATGAAACATCAGCTCCAGGAAGAGGAAATATTATGCCAGCAACTTAGCAATACAAACATCCAACTTCAAACCCAGGAGGAATTTCCCTGACGAGGGAAGGAGAGCTCCCCCTTTGCTGGGTATAGGCTGGCCTTCCTGCTAGAGACAATTGTCAAACGCTGCTGCCTCTCATGACTATGGCCCGAATGCTTTGTGAGTCCAATGCCCCAGAATGCACTGAGCAGAAAGTCTACCTTCCAAGTGTTTCCTCTTCTTATTTTTTTTTTTAATGGAGGGACCTGGGATTGAACCCAGGACCTTGTGCATGCTGAGCACTGCACTCTACCACTGAGCTATACCTTCCCCCCAGGTGTGTATATGAAGGCTGGAGAAGCAGCCCCTCTGTGTTGGGGCTTTCTATATACCTCCAGGCCTTCCCTGACCAAATCGATTCAAACTCCATGAAAAAAAAATTATATATATATAATTTTTCCCCCCAGTGACCATAACAACTCTTTCCATAAAGAGGTCCAGATGTTTAATTTTTCCAAAAGAAATTTTAACAAAAACAGAATAAAAGTAACTGAGGAAGGATCATTTTTCCATTGACTTCTTAACCCAAATGGGACTGGTTACGCCAGTCAAAACCACAGATTCACCTCCCCCGGGGGACTCCCCTTTTCGTCGTCCCTGGTTTCGGCCTGGGCACAGGTGCCTTCCCAGAATGCCTCTGGTCAGGCCCCTGCAGACACTGTATTTAATTTCAAGAAGCTGTTTTTTTTTTTTTCAAAAGCCAGCTGCGGACAGTGTAGGTTGTCGTACTTTGTCTCCAAAACCCTGGGCCTAATAATGAGTAGAAGATGGTTTCATCAGCTTGAGCTGCATTTTCCTAAGTCTGTTAGGAAATCCCCTCCTTCAGTAGTTGGCAAAGACCTGTGCAGCTTCAGAAAGAACGGGGTTTTCTTAAGGCATCGACCCATACGTATCTCCTGTGAGCAAGCAGCGGGGTCTTTGGGGAGGTGACAAGGAACAGGGGCAAGTGACCAGAGCGGGAAGCAGTCACTTGAAAAAGCACCAACCCAGCCATAAAGTCAGGCTTCAGAGTTTTTATTTCTCGTCCCAACGGTTTTGATGTCTGGGCTTAGAAAGGGTTGCTCCTTCTAAAGTTTCTAAACCTTCTTATGGTTGTTGTTAAGATCAGTGTCTCTGGGTAGTTGTTAAGATCGATGTCTGTGAAGATTGCAGGCCTCTCTGGGAGCAGCAGGGTACCTGGACACCTACCTGGACATCATAAAAATAAGAGATGCCTGTGGGTGTCCCATAGCTTGTTTGGTTAATGCAATGGCTCATAACTGAAATGCCAGTTGAACCACCAGTTTGTTCTGCTGGTGCTTGGTTTATACATAAACATGAGTGGGAAGGGACCAACATTTCTTTTTTTTTTAAAGCACAAATTTTATTTTTATTACCGCTGCTTTGTTTTTTGTTTCAAAGGGATGGCACGGACTCAGGGTACAACAGCTGTACACAGCCCAGCTGGAAGGTCCCGGAGTTTGAACTTCTACTTCTTAAAGAGGGGTTATGTGTTGAACATTCAAGTGCTGGTAACCATTCTGTTTTATTTGCCCTACGGCTTCTCTTCTTGGAGGGCAGAATCCAAGACCACCTCCAGCTCAGACAGATGGAAAGGGTTGGGGCAGAGCAACCAGCAAAGGCGGTTTAGACCAAGACATCTCATGAGGGGTTGGGTTCCTACCCTCCAGGCCCTTCTCACTTGCTGTCATTTTTCAAGGGCACATTGAAGCTCTGTCTTTGTGCCTCTCCTGTCCTCTCCGTAGTCCATAGCTTACATCCCCGAGGAATCGGCTTAATATACTGTGTCCATCAGAGGTGAAAACAGAGCCAACTGGGCCTATAACTCAGACAACACAGACACTCAGCAAGTACTAACTGACTTACATGTTGGATCACAAAATGATCTGAATGATGAATGGGTCCTCCCAGTGGGTGAAAAAAACCCTCAATCTCTGTGTTGTTTCCCAAGGCCATTCGATGTTTCTTAAAAGATCAGACACACAGGCCTAACCCTGATCAAAGTCTAATCTCCAAAGTAGACCTGGAGCAAGATGGGTTGGGGGGAGCATTAAATTCTCTTTCTTGTTCTGTGTTCACTTAAAATTTTTTTTTAATTGTAAGTACCCTTTCATCAAATTAAAATCCTGAGTGTAGTGACAGCAGTGATTCAGTGACAAAACATGGTTTATGAGGATAAATTTGAACCCAGGTGCAATAATTTAGTAACATTTTAGGTGATTAATTTTTCCAAACGATCTCATCGCTCCTCCTAGACAAGAGGGAATCAAGGTCTCTGTGGTCCAGGATGGGTCCCTATGGAAGATTCTGGCTGAGCCAGGAATACTTCTTGACCATAGGTTGTATGTAGGGAGTCAAAGGGGTTAATCCAAGTTGCAGCATCT